GATCAGCTGACTGCGAACTGTCAGTCGCCGCCGTGGGCCTCTGCGAGTCCACGTGACAACCGCTCCGCGCGACTCTTTCGCCGCGAGCGAGCTGCTCGCTCTCTCCGCTTCACAACCAAATCGCAGCACCGGAGGCGACACGGGAGCGTATGTGTTTCATTCGTGGGGTGACACGTCGATCACGGTCGTCTCGGGATCCGCGCGGTTATTTCAAGCGATTTTCACATTCGAGGGTAACGCTCGTTTCGCGGTCTTCGATCGTGCGACGGAAACGGTCTCGAGTATTATTTGCATGACACTTTTGTGTAAATTTCACCTTTTAGCAAAATCAATTAAAATTTGCGACGCGCGTTAATTCACGCACGTTTCTTTAATACGGGCAAGGGAGGGAGGGGGAGAGATAACTTATATATGTGGCGTTCCCGTAAAGCTCCCGCATCCCCGGCGAGATGTAATTAATGATCGCGACTCTCTGATTAAAGGAGGGATCCGTTTACACGGTCGGTCGTAATCTGATTTCGTGTAATGAAACACTCGTCCTATTGAAAAAAAAAAAAAAAGACAAATTCTCAAGTTACGGAGCTCTTCTCCGGGCCGGTGTTTTCTGAACCGACACACAGGTGTAGTGTTTCTAAACTGCGATATCTCCCGTTCGATGGCATTCGATTCGATTTCTTCGCATTGTTCCTGCGCGACAGAAGGGAAGAAGGCGAAGACGGAGCGATTACTGTTGTCAGGCGCGAGTTTCTTCGGCGAGACTAGCGTGTCCTGTTCGCGATTTTAAGTTGATAAAAAAAAAACAAGCACATTTATTTGCACAACACACGTAACAACGTAAAAAAAATTATCTTATAAAAATAAAAATTATATTGTATAAAAGGATGTATAAAAAAAATTATTTTTATAAAAATAATTTAGTTTTTACTTTACAAATTAAATTGATAATAAATTAATTAGTCGACGTTAAATTTTATCACAAAATCGAGAGATTTTATACGAACGATTAAAATTCTCGCGCATCGAGCGGCGATAATCACATCTCGGCCCATTGTTTCTCGGTTCCCATCGGGGAACGTTGTGCAACGTTCATATCGTTCCGATTCTCGTTTACAATCCGAGCGAACGTGTGCGTTTCAACAAAGAACACATGCATAATAATAATCGATCGTCGGCGACGTGGTGCTCCCGCGGCGATGGGTATCGCGCGATCGGTATCGTCGTTGCTCGAGGGAAATGCCGCAGTCGTACGAAATTCCGACACACTCGCTTGTGTGTGCGCGCTTGTGTGTGTGTTGTGTGTGTGTGCGTGTGTGTGTGTTGTGTGTGTGCGTGTGTGTATCGCTCCTTATATACACAGAAGCGATCTCTGTCTTCCTCTCTAAACGAGCACCGTTTCGCGACAAGAATGTAGAGAAGACGAGCGACGTGAATTTCGCGAGGATCCTTACGTAACGCGGAAAGGCTACCGGGGGGTTAATTCCGACCTCGTTGGCATTACCGGCACGATGATGAATTGTTCGAATGAGAGTCAAGAAGAGAGAGAGAGAGAGAGAGAGAGACACCGACTACGTACTTCCACCGGGAATGGCTCAAACCCAAACCCCCTCGATCTTAATCTCGCCCCTGACACATCGTCAATCCCGAGGATTAATTTCCCCCGTGAGATCGCCATCTCACCGAGAAAATGAGAAAGTGCTCGAGAGATGGAAGTGGGAATCGGGAATGAAATCAGTAGGTACGCGGCATTTGAGTTGAGCAAACGAACAACGTATTTTGACGACGTGGACGCGCATTTGTTCCGACGGATCTTCTTCAGTTCCGGCGCGTACGCGGGCATCTGAAGGAATTGAAGTCACACCGAGGTGTGACACCCGGCTATGTCCGGTGCGGCTCCGAAGCGCACTGTAGATGCGCGCTAGAAGAAGAAGCGGAAGATGCGGGAGAGAGAGTCATAGGCGCAACGCGCGCTTTGCGGCACGGCGTGTGTTCGGCGAGAAAGAGTGGGGGGAGAGAGAGAGCGAGTCGCGAGAGAGGAGGGGTGGGAGAGATCGAAGGAAAGAGAGAAGAGAGAGAGAGAAGGAGAGAGAGGGAGGGAGAGGGACCATGTCCTATCCCAACAACCACGTGGCGCCGAAGACACTTTCATCATGCACACCAGTGTGGCTCGGAACCCCCGCGCCGAACAACCACGTGGTTGGTTTACCGTCGTTCGACGCTCCGGAGGAACAGGCCCACCTAAGCGCATGCGCCGCGTTTTGCCGCGTCGCGTTCGCAACCGCCTACAACCATCAAGGTCAAGCAAAGTCGCGCGATCGCGACCTCGTGGTGACGACGACAATGTTACTGACCTGGTCGAGAGCCGCTAATTCAGATAGATCGAACTTGAGCGGGAGAACACGCTAATTGCCCGATCCGAAAATTTTTCTCGAACGTCGCGCGGAATATCGAGATTCCGATCTGCTTTCCGCAGATCAGGCCGTATCAGTTCGGTAAGAACGAGTGTCCTGAAGAATGAGTCGATACACTGGATGGGAACTTGATTTCTTCAGCATTCGGAAGAGAAGAACATGTACTGTAGGAAACATTGATGACGTATCATATCAAATTGCTAGATATAACAATCGGTTCATCAACACTTTTCGTTTTTTTTTTTTTTT